TCCCGGGCGGGCTCCATGGACGCGGCTGAGGCGCTTGCGGGGCCGGCCCCGCCTCTCGCGACAGCCGTCCCGCTTCCCGCCCTTCCCGCGTTATCCCGCCGGGTCCCCTCGGGTCTGGGGCTGCCAAGGAGCCTCTTGGGGCCCGGGTTTGTCTCCTCCTGGAAGAGGGCCTGGCTGCGAAATGGCCGGCGGGCATCGCGCGGGAAAAGGCCCCGGTGGCTCTGCCGAGGCCTCCAGGAGCCCCTTTGCCGTGAAAAGAAACGTTTCACAGCCTGAACCATCGTTTTTAGCCGCCAGTTTCCCACAAAAAAACCCCCACAACTTTCACTTTGTTACACGCCGTTACACGGCTCCGGAATCGGACTTTGGCTCATTGTGTGTTCCTGCTCCGGGCTGGCTGATCATGAGGGAAAAATCCCCCCCTGACTCGTTTTCCTTGCCTGTCGCATCCTTGAGAAATATCACGGTGCCTCTCCGGAGAGTTAAACGCTTGCTAAGCTGCTTCCTTGGAAGAAGTTTCCTACGCTGACGCTCCCCGTTCCTTGAGGAGAGTGGGCAGTGGATGGATTGTTTTCCTGTTCAGGTTAGCCCGGTGGGTGGCTGCTCCTTCGTGGCTGTTGCTGTTCAGGAGGGGTGTGCATGGGACCATGTGCTCCCAGGTCTGTGTTACAGGCATGTGCTTGGACCGGGAAGCTCTGGCTTAAATATTTAAGTATTCCTGGAAGAAGAGAGTTCTGCAGGTAGCAGTGCTGGTGTAGTACTCTGAGACCACTGGCACATGCCAACCTGATGCACCTTCTGATATGTTTTGAAAAACTCTAGGTCAGTTTTCCACCTTCTTCTGCCTTTTAAAGGGCTCTGAATAAAATGTTTAGTGGAGATATGGCTTCATGTATTGCTCTAGGGGTATCGGCCAGCTGGCTGGGGAAGGAAACTTGCCAGATTTGCCTTTGGGAATGCAGTGAGCTCAAGCAGGTTGATACTCAGTTTATTTAATGACATTTTACTCTTTTTTTAATAAACACTTTGAAAATTATTAAGGATTCCCTTCAAGTGTTTATAATTTTTGGTTCATGATCAAGTGAATGTTACATGAATTATCTGGACAGCCATGTAATTTCCATTAACTGCAACAGTAATTGTAAGCATGTAGGAAGAGGATGGCTTATCCTATGATCCTACCTATTATGAAGTAGTTAACTGATTAAGGTTAGGATACTGCAAGCCACTTCATTCCACCAGTGAACTCTCTACAACCCCATTATCTTCATTAGGCTTGTGTGGGTATAATTAATTGGTGTTTAGTTAACAGTTGTGTTGAATGAAAAGAACTCGGTTCTATTTCTCTTAGTTTTATTGGCCCCATGGTGCTAACAGGCTAAAGTGTAATTAATAACTCTCTAATCAAAGTATATGTAGCAAACCCCAAGGAACAACAGTGAGGAAAGGCCTGTGGTTGGTGTGACTTGAGAAAGGACCAGGTACAAATGGCACCCTTTAGTAGCTCCTTTTTGGTCTTAAAGAGTGAAGATGCACTACTTATATCAACATCTACAGATAAAAGGTACAAAACTGACTGTATATGCTTGCAGACATCACTTTTCTGGACATGTCCAGTAACACCACATTTTGAGGTCTTATCAACACATTTTCTTCCAAAATCTTTTAGTTCATATTTCGGGTGGATAGAGGAATGGGTCTTGTGTGTTCTTTGGAGAGCAGCTGTGCATAACTTGTGATCACCTCCTGCCTTTACTCTTGTGCCAGCAACTTATGATCAGCTGTTCCTCATTTATGATACTTCATTGTGTGCATTTTTTTTATTATTTTTTTTTCTGGAGTTGCTTTGTATCTTGCTTGGGTATTTATACATGGTGCTAATCTGTGGCACCCTAAAACCAAGTATAATATGGCAGGCTTAAGTGTTGCATAGAGGATTTGCTTTTTGCTGTTCTAAAATGTTGCTTTAAAGATATAAACTGGCCCCTTAAATCAATTAAGATCATGGTCTCACTGCCATCTGTGTTCTTGTAGGATTTCACAGAAGAGTAATGTGTGCTCATTCCACTGACAGGGTCTTCTTTGAAGTCAAGTCTGAGTACATAAAAACTGCATGACATTTCCAATAAAATCAGGATTGCCTTTTCAGCTTGGCAATACAAATACTCTTGTACATTACTGGTTTTGAGGCATTTTAATTTCTTAAATTAAAAAAAAAAACAACTTTTAAAATGTTTTCTCTGGACACCAAAAATACTGCTGCAGTCTTTCTTGTAATTCTCAATATTCTGTGTTCTATGAAGGATAAAGTTCAGTAATAAAGCTAAACATAACTTTATGTATGAGATTAAACAAAAGCGTTGGTGCTAGGATGTGGCTGAACATAACATTTAGATTGGACTTTGAGTCTAGATAAAAAGCTTCCAATGGCTTGTGTAATATATCCATGTCCTGAATATTGGGAAGCTTCTAATGATGATTTAGGTGTTTTTTTGTTTTTATCTCTAGCATTATTCTTTTAATTTCCAGAGTACTCATGTAAGAGTTCATTTGCCTTGAGTAATCATTCTCCGCTCCAATGGTTACTTCAAGTTGAGTGGGTTTTAGTACTAATTTCTTTCTAAAGTTTGAGGATTCTTCCTGGGGGTCTGTTCAGCTCCTGCTGTGTG